CATCCTTGCCTCAACACTCCCACCCCTTGAGCAGCCAGTGCAGACAGACCTCTACTCAGAGGTGCTGCCCAGGCTTGTCCACACCCTGCCTCAGCTCAGCATTGTTCAAGGGAAGGGAGGGCTGATCTAGCACCCCCTGGCTTCTAGCCAGAGCCACTGGCATGTGCCTGAATTTCCTCAGTCCAGAGAGAATGTCTATGACATTACAAACTGGTTTAGCCTAGCCATGTTAAACTAACCTGCAAAGGTTGAATCAATTCAGGCTCATGCTTTTTGAATATCTGTCCCTAGCCTTAGGGAACACGTGTTGTGTAAGATACTTCATAAAATATGGTTTTGAAATGTGCAAGAAGAAAAAGAGAATTTTTTTATGCTACAATCAAATATAAGTAGCCACCGCCCACTATTAAAAGAAAAATTCAAAGAAAATACAAAATAGCATTTGGTAGCATCCTTAGACCTATTCTCTAACCTCACAAAATATATAAATAGAACAACCTGTTTGCTGCACCCAAAACATAAAGCTGGCCAGTTCCTATTTATAATTTAACTTTAGTTTGTCAACTTTTACTAACTCCATGACTATACTGCTAGTTATTGAAACAAGATTTTTTGCCTTTCTCTTAATGAAAGAAACTTCTTGGACCCTATTTTTTGTGAGAAACTTGAAAGTGTTAATATATGCAGTAGCATATACGATGCAAGAATGTTGCTGTTTCTGAATAATTCTCTGGAAGATTGTGGTTCAACAAGGAGATGGACAAGGATGTTAAATATATTTGATGAGAAACTTCTGTAATAATGTCTCATTAAAATGTTTCTTCTGTACGTAGATACACACCAAAATATAACTTTCAAGCCAATATTATACTAAGTAAAACTTACTCAAGAAATCAGTGTGATCTGCTTAGAAGATAAAAGCATTACGCCGCTATCTGTACTTGGCATTTTGTTGCACAAAACTGTGATTTTCTTTTATTTACTCTGATTTACAGGCCAAATAAAATTGCATCCTGATTTTGTGTTCATGTGGCTCTAATTATTGCTTCATTCTACACTCTTCTTCATGAAGAAGTAAAACCACTTACTTGGTCATGTGCATGCTCTGCTAGTGGAAAAATGGAATGAATGAGCTGACTAGTTCTTATTCTGAGGGGCACCTGAAGTCTAACAAGGGGTGCCTTGGGAGTTAAAAGTTTAAGAACAATTGCACTAAACTATCTTTTTTATGACAGCCTTTATATACAGTTAAACACAAACCATTGTTTTTGTGGGGTTTTTTCATTTTAGCTTAGTCTGTTTCTGCTTCTTTCCCAGAACTGAAGAAAGATCCTTTGTGTCCAGAAGCTTGCCAGACCAGACTTCTCTCCCAACTATACAGTTGATCCAATAAACTCTCACTTCCTGACAAGACAGTTTAGTTTAGTGGTTCTTAAACTTTTAGCACCCAAGGCAACCCTTGTTAGCACCTCTCAGAAAATGCCAGCTCTTAATTTTCCCTTGTTTTTTGACTACAGAAATAATGTTTTGTTGTAATGAACTCACAATAGAAAGCCCACAAAAGGTTAGAATGTTTTAATATTGTGAATTCTTATTGGAAATCTCTTGAGTTTATCTTGTAAATTATGTTTGTGTCCTGATCTGGAGGGCTGCTGTTTCTGAGGGATAGGGGAATGAAAACCCAGAAACTGCACCAAATGCTTGGAAACAACACTTTCCCTATGGTTGCATTTACTGAACAGACCCAGGAGAAAAAACAATACTGAAGAAAAGCAATACAGCTGTCTCATCCAATTCAGACAGGGGGATCAGCAAGACTTTGACATCACCTGCCTCAATCCGTTGTTACAGGCCAGATCTGGCTGTATCAGCTCAGCCGGAGAGCTGGTGAAGAAGCCCAGCCCCAGAGCAGCAGTGAGGCTCTGCAGTGCCTTAGACTGGGCTGATCACTGCCTCTGTTATCCTTGACGTTCCCGTGTTATGCCTTTTGCCTGACTTCAGACTAACATGGTTAACCACCTCATGCTGTCTGTCATGCACGAGTTTTGCTTTCCCTTCTCCCTCCTGGGGAAAGCCCAGTTTCAGTTTCCTGCAAGGACACGCCTCCTTACTGCTTCCTCCTCCAGAGCAAGGAGGAGCCTCCCCCTCCAGCTAAGCAGTATTTACACTTGTTGCCAGCTGGAGGAGGAGAATCTGCATCAGCTCAGAGCTTCGGTGGCACTGGGAGAGCTTGTCAAAGCTCACAGCTGCTGCTAACTTTCCTGCACATTTTTGAAGCTTGTCTTATCCCAGTTCCTTGCTCAAACACAAACTGGGAGACCGGAGGATTGTATCCAGGCCTGACCCTACTGGACTCTGCAGGATTTGCCATCTGCATAGGTTAAAGCAGACCTTCTGTCCCAGATCCCTGCCTGGCTCAGGTTAGGTCACAGTGAAGACAAGAATACCAGGATGCCTAAGAAAATGCCAAGGGACTGCCAGACCCCCAGGCATCACAGCAAGAGGAAAAGGGGTTTGTTGTTGCCTCTGCCACCGCTGCCGCCACCACCACTACCCCCATCAGCTGCACCATCTTCATCATCTTTGCCTTCATTGTTTTTTTTCCCAACACAACGGTGCCATCCCAGTCTCTTCAAAAAGTGTGCACAAGAAATCCGTCAGATACACTGCAAACAGGACTACTTTGCAGTAGTAGAGAAAAATGGGAGCGTTATCATCTTTGACCAAGGAGATGAACACCAGGGTCATCCCAGGAAACCTAGTGAGTATGTGTTTGGAAAGCTCAGGGGCAGATCTTGAGGGAGGGGGAAATGAAATTGTTCCACTGATGTCATCAAATCATGCTGATCTGAACTAGCCATGAAAGTTTCCTTCTATTGGTTGTTAGATGCCCAGATCTATCCCTGTGAGAGTTAAATAGCTACCCCCCGGCACGATTTTATTCTTAAATCTCCTTTTTTTACATTGGGTTGCTCTTCCTTTTTAAATTAAATTGATCTCAGGATCAAGGGGACTCACGCTGATCTTCACAGAAGTCTTTGGGTGACTTTTCTCCTGCTGTTTCAGCTCCAGTTCTCTGACATCGCTGTCACCAGAACAGTTTCCTTTCTCTGTTGAAACACTCCAGTTTCAGTTTCCATTCTAGATAAAGCAGAATCTGACCGAGGGAAAACACAGGCTGATTGGCTCAGGGGAGAACTCCAGACTCCTTCTCCTGATACAACACCAGAGTCTGGGGAAATTAACCTTTTCCCTGCAATCCTCAGCACTTTATTTTCATTACAAATCCTTGCCTCTTGTTCAGTTCTCAGCCACTGAGGGCCTTGGGGAAGTGGGTGTCAGCCCTGATCACTGGCTTTCTTTTTATGGGCAAATGTTATGAGTGGACTATAACAGAAGGAGCAGAAATTATTACATTAGAAGGCAAATGAAAGATATATATGAGGACAATTTTTAAAGATACAGTGAGCTCTTGAAGGTATCTGAGATTCTCTTATATACAATGCATGTGTACATCTACTGAGCTGAGTCTACAATGTAGGTAAACTCTTGTCCATAAATGTTACTAGCATTCCCATATAGTCATTTCCCATTTGTGATCTACTTCCTCTCTCCTGATGTGTCCTACCTCCTTTGAGTGGATTGTCTAGGACTGACACCTAAATGCAGGAGTCCTAGTCTAATTATGAAGTTCAAATGATTCGTCAGGATATTTCAGCTGTGGAAATGCAGTAGGCCTGGTGCAAAAGGTGTGTACCACGTTGCATGGTAGAGAAATTATATTTAAGGGGAAACTGTTGGTTGCTCTGTGAGCTCACACTGTGTTACTGTTAAAGAGGTTATAAAACCTAAGCTGACTAGACATTTCTGGCTATTTCTTTTGTTGTTGCAATTAGGGGTGTAACAATAAAGATTTTCTTGGCCGATACTGATAGCAGATGATTAACTAACCATATCAGCCAATTCTGGTCTGATAACTGATATTTAGTATTAGTGCAAGGCATTTTAAACTACTGATATCAATAAACCTTTTTTTTTTGTTTTGTATTTATAACACGTACATGCCTCCTGCCTGTTTTGGCCCTTGATGAGGAAGGCGGTGACTGCCTTATTCCCATGCATTTTGCCCCCCTGTCCACAGCTCCTATCCTCTGCCCCACTCCCTGCACAACCCATGCTGTCATCCCGAGCAGGTGCGGCAGACCACTGTGTGGACAGTGGCAATGGAACCATTTGGAGCCCTGAAGCATGCTGCTGCCTCAGCGCCAGCAGGACCTGCACAGCCAAACTCCCAGGGCCACCAGGGAGAAGTAACTTTTGCAAAGGCGTTCAGTGCCTGGCAGAGCAGAAAGTCCCTCATGCAGCACCTTACCCCACCCATGCACAACTCAACATCTCTACAGACCCCTGCTGCGCACGCAACATTGCAATGACAGCAGCAGCAGCAGGACCTGGTAATGGTCCCTATATCACTGAGCACAGAGCCCTGAGACTGCTTCTGGTGCTGCTGCCCTGCCTCCCCTGCCCACAGGGGCCTGTAGTCCACTGTAGGCTTGGGCCACTGGTGGGGTGCAAGGACCAGACTATGCTCACCAGGGTGCTTCAGGCATGTGGCTGTAATTATCGGCTACAACGACCAAAAAAAAAAGCCAATAGCCAATAACATCATTTCTCCTTTCATTGGTGCCAATCCAATAGCCAACTAATATATTGGTGTACCCCTAGTTGCAATGACATTATGGCTTGAAACATTTCCTGCAGACCTGGGAACACCAACGAGAAAGCTCGTTGTGTATCAGAACTGGAGAGCCAGCCTGACTATATGCAATTGTGACGTTGATTAATGTTTCCCCTTGTGTAAGTGGATGTGCACACAAGTGAAAGAGCCAGCAGAATTGGCGGGATGGAAATGTGAACATCTGCAAGGTCTCTTTCATGTGCATTAATCTGGTGGTCTGACTTTCACAGACAAAACAGCACTTGCAGAAAGGGCCAGGTGCTCAGTGCCTTTCAAAATCAGTCTATAAAATATAATTACTTTGTGCTATATTCCACTACATTCCTTGCAGGAGGTGTGGGGGGCTGGAAGCAAAGGTGATATTGATATTGTAGGTTGCCTGGAGCTGTGTTAAGAGCTTGGAAAAATCTGTCTGCAAAGTGTGTGGTTGCACTGGACCACCACCCCGACTCAACGTTAGACAAGGAAGGCTGGGCTATTACTGAAACCTAAGGCGGGTACCACTTCTGGTGCTCCACAGCTGTCTGTATTCCATACCTACCTTTCTGTGGCACAGCCATATATATCTGTTTAGTGACTTACTGTTCAAGTTTATACTGAGACAGATTTTTCTTCTGAGAGCATTAATATTTCATGATTTTGCCAGGTATTAATATTATTTAGATTTATATGCCACCCTATCCAAAAAGGCTTAGAGCCTTGTCCACTGTCTTAAAATGGTGATAGTTTCTATCTCAATTTTCTCTTCAGGACATGTTAATTTAAGAAAGAATACGCGGGTGGATTGCGTGGACACTGAAGCTACCCATATGCTCATTCTCTCCTTGGAAGGCAAACTATCTGAGCACAGTGTTTCAACCACAACGAAGTCTGAAATAAGGTAGGGAACATGGGTGACTGGTGCCACCTTAGTCAGGGGGGGCGCGTCCTCCCACTGACCTGGGGGAGTTCCCCCCGCAGCCTATCTCCCTGCCTGTGGGGACCCTCGCGGCCAATCCCGCGACGGCTGATCACTGCAGCCAGTTGCTGCAGCCGCTTCTGGGAATGGCTGCAGCGATTGGCTGGCACTTGCAAGGTGGGCACTGCCTGCCCCCCCTGCCAATCACCTAAGAGGTGAACGTGGGTGGTCAGGGGGTGCACATGCACCCCTGTGCACCCCCTACGTGTTGCCACCGGTAGGGAATGTCTCGCTGGATTGGAGTGAGGGTAAGGGTGGGGATGATGGTCAGATGGTGAGACCAGGGTTTGATGAAGACAAGAATCAAAGTGATCCAAGAGAAGGAGCTGGTTTAGAGCTAGTTTATGGCACAGAAGGTAAGGGTGATAAAACAATAGCATTGAGAAGTGGAAGTGAGAGACTGTGCAGTTATCTGGGTTGCCAGCATGGTAGATGAAGGAGCCCAAAATAAGGGTTAGTGGCTGAGAACTGAGCCTCAAAGTCCAAGTGGGGAGTCAGCACCTATAATTGACAGTCATTTGGTGGGCAAAATGGAGATCAGAAGAACAGTATGATGGGGTTATTGAGGCTTCCTAGGTCAGGCTATCTCTGCCCCTGTATGTCTGCAACAAATGCCCAGGCAGGAGGGAGGAGGATAAAAGTGGGTAACCTGGCTCAGACAGAGGAGGACTGACAGATGAGAGTTCTTCTTTATTACCTTTGTAGCCCTGGGGGGATGCCAGGGGAGCAGATGTGGGCGGAGAGGTAGAGCTGAAGGAAAATCACTTAGAGTTGGGTGCCCGGGTGTTTTCCTAAGCCTGGTGGTAGTGATGGGATGAAGGAAGAGTTTGAGGAAGAAGGTTCTGAGGAGGACTGGATGACTACACAGTCCGGTGGGTGGCGAAGTGGCTAGAGGGTCGCACCCAGAGAGTTGTGGTGGATGGGTCAGTTTTGACCTGGAAGGGTGTGGGCAGTGGGGTCCCGCAGGGCTCGGTCCTTGGACCGATGCTCTTTAATGTCTTCATCAGTGACTTGGGCAAGGGAGTGAAGTGTACTCTGTCCAAGTTTGCGGATGACACAAAACTGTGGGGAGAAGTGGGCACACCGGAGGGCAGGGAACAACTACAAGCAGACCTGGATAGGTTGGACAAGTGGGCAGAAAACAACAGAATGCAGTTCAACAAGGAGAAATGCAAAGTGCTGCACCTAGGGAGGAAAAATGTCCAGCATACCTACTGCCTAGGAAATGACCTGCTGGGTGGTACGGAAGTGGAAAGGGATCTTGGAGTCCTAGTGGACTCCATGATGAACATGAGTCGGCAGTGTGACGAAGTCATCAGAAAAGCTAATGGCACTTTATCATGCATCAGCAGATGCACGACGAATAGATCCAAGGAGGTGATACTTCCCCTCTATCGGGCGCTGGTCAGACCGCAGTTGGAGTACTGCGTGCAATTCTGGGCACTGCACTTCAAGAGGGATGCAGATAACCTGGAGAGGGTCCAGAGAAGGGCCACTCGTATGGTTAAGGGCTTGTAGGCCAAGCCCTACGAGGAGAGACTAAAGAACCTGGACCTTTTCAGCCTCTGCAAGAGAAGGTTGAGAGGTGACCTTGTGGCTGCCTATAA